GTAGAATTGTAAATGGTCTGACTCATGTCACGCTCATAACTGTGCCTGATCTACAACAGGGAACTGCTGCTTTTTCTTTCCTGATCCTTACTATTGTCATTTTCCTCTACTTCTTTTGTATGTTTGTCACTCTCTAAACTCTCTTGCAGTGGCGTCGCGTGGGTTGCAGACAAGGTGGTGCACAATCTATCGATATTTACAACTGTTTCTAGATGAAACCGCATAAAAGCTGTAATAAAGCGAAACAATACTAACAACGCACTATGCTTACAATCTGAGAAGATTAAAGATTTCTAATTACTTCGTACAGCACCAGGACTTGCTACACGATTGAGGGAGACATCTGTTTCGATACCCATTCTTCATTGAGTTACCATAGACTCTACTACTACTACTAGTGTAACAGAAGGCTAGTGGAAACTTGGATCAAATTTTTAGCTTGCACCAAATTGTTGCAGTGAAGAGCAGTTTCATGCACCTTTCTTCTTGTGCGGGAGGAACGATGCCTAGATTTCTCTACAGTGACAAAAATAACTTTGATGCAAAGATTTTGTTTGCTCCCAGCAGACACTACCGCAAGCGGTGCGACGAGCATAAACCATCCTCACCGTCTATCTTCACTGGCGCAGCCAGCGGGTGACGGATCGCAAGGATGTAGTAATGTAGATCTAGATGAGCACTGACTGGTTTATAACAATAATTAGAAAAGGGAGGGGGGAGGTTGAAGACCAGGGTTAGGTGGAGCGCTTGCACCAATTGCGCCCCGCCACTGCTCTCTTGTGACCTATTTCCTGGGTACCTTGATAGTCGAAGCAGACCTTGCGCTGTTGAAGCTAGAGAGGTGAGCAGTCTAAGTCTGATTCCTTGTAAAGACTTCTCTGTTGACACCTACCCCTTGGCGCTCATATTATGACCTTATGCTGTTGCGAGCGCCGTAAAACCCTCTACTATTAAAAAAAGAACAACAAAAAACGGGGTGGCTACACACTACACCCTCTATTGACAATGTTCACGAAGAACCATGGCTGTTCAGACGTTTGAAATCCGACCAGTGTGATATAAACTCATTCTTCATGAACTTCTCGTCGTTGTTGAAATCTGAAATTGTACACTTTATCAATTGTTCCTTGACTTTTTTGAGCGAGTTTATTTGAGTAACTATTACAATTACATTGTAATACCTTTCCGTTAGCGGAAAATATTCTACATTGTACACGTTTACAACCTACAGAGTTTGTCTTGAAAAGTCAAAGTCAAAGTCAAAGTACAAGAGGGGGGGGTGGGGGGCAAGTGTAAACGACTGCCTTGAGATAGTCTAGCATTGCCTCTTCTCCGCTCTGACTCTGATCAAAAATGTATCACTCCACGAGTAGTTTGATTCTCCGCCCACACTTAGATCTACTTATTGCCTTCACTCTGCTTGTAACAATAATGAACTTACTGTGCACGTAGGGAGTTATTTGCAACTCATCAAAGAGCAATGTGATGCTGTACCATAATAACATTGCATGATGTTATTGTACGCAGATAGGACACAGCAGGCAGAGTCGTTGGAGAGAACGCTTTTTTTATGAGTTCGTTTTATCCAGGGATCACAGAGAAACTTTTGCCATCCCCTGAACTTTACTTTGACGGTCGATCCGATAGACTTCCGTATACACTGACATGTATTGTTCACCTTCTCCCCCCTTCCCATATCAGTTTTAATACATGTAATGCACAATAAACCAAAATATTGACACATTTCACTTACTCTCCTCTTGAGCTTGATTGACTTTGACTTTGTTTTTGTAAGTGTTTTACGGCGCTCGCAACTGCATAAGGTCATATGAGCGCGCGGGACACATCATTAATCATTTTCAGTTGGTAGGAAATTTTGGATTTAGTCTGGGTGGCGGCGGAAGCCTACTTTTATCGATTTTAGACCACCAAGGAATCTTATGTACAACTTGCTCACTTCACGACTCCTCCGAGATTTTTCGCCCTTGTCCAAGAAGGCTAGGTGTAGATCTTTCCTACCATAAGACCAGGGGTGACGCTGAAAGACAGCAGTAAGAAGGAGCCAAGGAGAAACAGTAGAAAGGCTGCAGAAAGAGTTAGGAGCCCACAGGAGGGGGCAAAGGAAGTGAGGGGGCTGGAGGAAGAAAGTGGAATCGAAAGCAGACGACAGAACACTGTCAGAGAGCAGGAAAGGAGGTGAAAGGAGACAATTTTAGAGAAGAAAACTTTTCCGTGGCTACCCGGATTCGAACCCAGGACCTTTGAATGAGAGGCGAACACCTTAACCTCTAGGCCACGAGAGCCCTCCACTTTGACTTTGATCTCGTACTCGTATGCCTTAGGGTCGATCTCAGGCCACTCGAGGCCTGCCGCGGCCTGACTTGAAGCCGGGGCGGAACGACTGTCGGCGCGGATTTTGGGAAGTTCTCACAGGTGGTTCAAGCCATCACTTGATCCAAGACTACGAGCAATGTGATGCTGTAACATATCATTACATATAATTATATTATGTATGTTATTGAGCTGGGGGCAGAAAGTGGGGACGATCTCTGTTTTACCTCTAACTATAAGTAGTAATAGCTCCCAGGTACTCAGCTTTAAAGTTAAAGGATCAGTTCGAACCTTCGATTTCTGTACCAAAATCTGAGTCATTCTGCCAGTTTTGTTCTAGTGGTTAAGCTACCGGACTCGTAATAATCGTGAGGTTGCGGGGGTTCAAACCTCGGCTTGACGTCGTGTCCTTGAGAAAGGCACTTGGAACGAATTTTCTTCCATATCCAAGCCAATAAATACATTAGGCCTACATGTTCATTGGTAGAACTACAGCAACGATCACCTAGAGCATGATGTGATGTTGATAAATTTCCCTACCCATATTTGAGTTCTCTCTGACCAACTTTCAATTTCAAAAGATGACTAAATCAGTTTTCAAAGAGTTGATTTGAAAAGCACAACAATTTCTTAAACCAGTAGGCCAGTATGCCAAGCCTTTACTTTATACACAAAGTTCCCTGCCCCTATGTAAGTCCACCCAGGACAGAAAAAGAACAAAAATAACCCTAATTTCTTGTTAAATGGTTTTACAGTACTTGCAATACCTTTTGAATAAAATCATATTTAGTTTTTTAGTCAGTTTTGCGGCACTTGCAACACAATAAGGTCATATATGTGCCGAAGATTAGAGGTGTAACAAGAGAGTAACAAACACAAAAAAGGAGGATAGATGTTAGATAGGAAAGAAGAAGCAAACCACAACTGAGCACCCGCCAACCAACCACTTAAGTCACACAAGTGTCAAAGATTATTAAAAATGTGACAAGAGAGTAACAAACACAAAAACAGGAGGAGAGACAAGGGCAATAGATGTTTGATAGGAAAGAAGGAGCAAACCACACCAGAGCATCCACCAACCACCCATACCCAATGTCTACAACCATAGACTGAGCAGATACCGGTAGCGTGAAAATGGCTCTAGTTTCATCAGTTGGTTCCAATCCACTTCTCGTTGAACTTTATGCAAGCATAGGAGTTCGTTTTCCTGCATTGTAACACAGAAACCCTGTCAGCCCCCCCAAAAACCTGAAGAACTTAGTAAGGAAACAACTTGGCAATTAGGAAAAAAAACAACAAAAAAACCCAGTAAGAGACATATAACTTATAACTGCTGAAATATATCAAATCAAAACAGGAAGCAGAAAATCTCTTGATATCACCAGTTTTATTGAATGCGATGTCCACAAACTTAGCTCAGTGCAATATACAAAGAAGAAGGCAAGGCCATGTTATACCATCTCCATCTTCCACAATAAATAGGACATAACATGTGCAGCACTTGTGGAGTGCAAGGGAGGAAATATAATACAAGAAAAAACTGAAGAAGAAAAAAAAACAAAAAAACAGGCATATCAGGCACAACATGGCCTCCACCAAACGTATAGCTATTTATAGAATCTGCAGTGACAAAACGAAATGAGCCACAACAAAAAAACAACCCAATCAAACCCCAGTATCGTTTCTGGTTAAAAAAAGAAAAGAAGACAGACACATGTATGAAGAGCAAGAACAACAGTCATGCTATACAAGAGCCTATACACATGCATACACAATTTGTCCAAATAACATGGTAGGGGGTTCCCACCCACTGATTACAGAGAGAGATCAAAGTCAAAGTAACTTTTACTGAACAAATTTACAGAGAAACTTGCGTCTCGGCATGACAAGATGCATAACATAAAATAAATAGCTGAAGTGATTTTCATTACATAGCAATGACACAGTTAAATTACACATTGTTTGCTAAATAGTGGAATCCACTTAGAGCTAAGGTTGAAAACTCGTCTGCAAAAAGAAGCATCTGAAATGCCCAGAGGGCGTGTATGTACATGACTGGCTGAAAATATTTACATAATATTAAATAAACCAAGTACAACAGTTGTTATTGATACACAGGACCATCTTCCCTCACCATGGAAGTTAAAAGAAACACAGACTAGCCCAACTGGCCTAAACCCTTGAAACTGACACAGGGTAGTCCAATGTCATCAATTCAGACAACCTGTCCAGACCACAAAACAAAAAACTCAAAACAAGTTTCAAACACTTCCATGGTGGTGTAGAAGTTTTACACAATCTATAAAAGAAAAAAAACAACCCCACCTAAAATTCAACAACAAATAAAGACAAAACAAAAGCTATACATGCAAAAATGACGCTGTCCAAATGAAACAAATACAAGTTAGCCATTATGCATTTCCGTTGAGCATGTCCCAAGGCTGTGTGAGATGTCCCGGTTCCAGCCCCTGCTCGTAGCGCTCCCACATTCGCTCAAATAGGTTTTCCAAATTGTTGGCGTAGATCTGGGTGTTGAACAGTGGACTTGACGTGCGGGCCTTCCACACTTTGGTCTTCATGCCTTGCAAACTGGAGAAAGGAGAAGCAGAAAAAAAAAAGGGTTACAGTTTGAAGAATGCTAATTGAGACAATCACGTAAAAAAAGATGAAACAGGAAGTACAGCCAAGCCTCGAATTCAGAGAATGTATCGGGACAGCTGGTTAGGGGTGAAAATATAAACCCTCTCGCACTTAGCAGGCAAGGCCAGCTGGGACCTCCCCATCCTTGAGAGAAGGGGAATAACTATGCAAAAAAACAACAGGGTACCTCACTAAAAAAAAATTGTATAAAATCACAAACATGTCCTACAATAATGAAAAAATATTTTCTGAAAAGAAAATGAATGGGCTGAATAATTAATGCAAAATTGTAGGAGAATGGAAGTGTGATAAAAAGATAGAGGTTTTTTTGTGGGGTGTCTTGAACTTTGAGAGCCCTCTTAACAGTGCAGGAATGAAGGGTTTGGTTGTAAAACAATTACAGAAAAACGTACAACGAAAACATAGTATCAGAAAGAAAAATGAATAGTAAAGTAAATAGCACGAGAGCTGGACAAGTGGGCTTTTGGGATCTATTTTTTTTCACTCAAGTTTCTGTCGCTCACTATCACTATCAGGTAGTAATCCACATAGACAATGATAAGCTCACTAATGTAGACAGTGCCAGTGACTTCTCGAAACAAACTCAAGACTTTGTGCACTGCCGAGCAGAGCTGATTTGAAAATGGCGAGTTTGCAACTGAAATCTGCGCCAACTTTTGATCCCACTGAAAAAGTCACTGTGCGCTAGCGAAACAAGAAAAACACACAACTTAACCAGAAGTCTTCTCTTACAAGGTTAGCAAAGTAAATCTTTCATTAATAGCTAAAGTAGAAGTCTTTCGTGGCACACCCTCTCCCCGAGGGCATTCGGACGCAATATGTTACCGGCACTGGCACATACGGCGCTGTAAGTTAACAAGAGAAGACCATTCTCTGGTAACTGATAAAAAAGTAACCTCTTGCCTGCTCGGAGAAACGTGATCCCTTCCATTTAAAAAAAAAAGAAAGTAGTGCTTAAATAAAAAAGATACTCACTACTGAGGGTCTGTTCCAAGCTTGACCGCAATCTTCACATAGTCCTCCTTTGTGTGAGCAACCAGCTCAGGGCAACCCAGAGAGTGGAGCTGACTAGATGCAACACGTGATGCCAAGGTCTCAGCTGAAAAATATTGACATAACACACATTAGAAACAGAGAGGAATGCAAGTATGAAAATTCACAAATGTATACATACATCTTTATGACCTCAAGATTCTGAAAACAGGAAATCATGCACACTTAATTCTTTAGCTTCTACCAGAGCTCGAGTCCGAAAAACCTTCCATCGAATACTAGGACTAAGTGCACTTGGAAAATCAGAACAAACACAAAAATCTACCCTGACTGTGATGCTAAAACAACCCTTTCAATTGGCAGAGGCCAGGCATGGCAACATTTTAAGATGTACTCTTGACCTCAACTTATGAAGCACAGTCAAATGAATTCTAAATAAGAAAATACCGTATTACAAAATTTTTTGAACTTACAAATATTACCTGGGAAGGTAACCATTGGTGTTCCTGCCCACAAGACATCCATGCCAGTGGTATGGCCATTGCAGAGAGGTGTATCCAAACAAACATCCGCCAGCTGACCTCTTCGCACATGTTCTTCCTAAAAAGCACATATAAATACAACTTTAGTTCACAGCTTCTAGATCATAAACAAGCTTTCATTAAAAAATCCCAATCTATAAGATGATATCTAATGAAAACAAATATTTCAATTGACTGGTTTTCTTATTAATGAACTGCCTGCCTTTTCTTTTTTATGTCTAATCCTGTTAGTCAATAAATTGTCCAAGGTCAACAGATTGAAACAACCTGAGATTTTTAAAAAAGCAAAACTAAATCTTTCCGTATCATCCAACACATCAATACCTTCATAGGATGTCATTTTCATGGGTCTCAATTGCGAATTTTTAAGAAGGAGGAACTCTCCGCTTGATCGCGAAAGAGGACCATTTTTTCGAGACACCCATTATTATTACATGTATACTGTTTAACCCTAGAATGCTGATAAAAAAACCCATCAATTTATCAAAACAAGGTTATTTCATACTAACTTGAGGGTTTGAAAAATAATTTCAAGTAAAAGAGTCACTTACCGAATAATATTTACAATCTTGATTATGTACAGACAGTGGTGGTTTAACGGAGGAAATGGTGGTAGCAGAAATCCGCTAAATAGCGGAACAATGAGACCCACGCATTTCTTATGTTGGGCCAAACTGGGGGCATGAAACGACTTATTTACTCTGTTCTTCCTATTACATGCTCCCAAAATGCCACAAAACAACTCTGATTTAAAGTTGAAATGAAGCCTATGTGTTGAAACCCCTAACAGAAAAGCAAGAGCACCACAAGAGCCTAAACCGTGCAGCCATTAATATAAACGAGGACAGGAATATCCTACAGGCGAAATACAATTTCTCACCTTTGGTGCTACATTTGAAAAGACGATTCGACCAGGAGGCAGACCATTGTTCGTTGCAGTTTGATGGATGTTTGTTTCACCCACAGCAGGAAATCTCAGAAGCCACAAGACACTGTTTGGTACTTGCTTCAGGATTTCACACTGGAAAACACACACAAACAAAATATAGGATAAATGATGAAGCTAACAAAAAAAAAAGGGACTCACATTGTATAAAAAACCAGTCAATGTACAACAAGCCAATCTGACAGACATACCGGAGGCTAAAATTCAATAAAAAGTTTCTCAAATGTGAGATATATAGATATATAACAAATGACTTCAGCTAAAGAATGAAAAAGAAAGGCAATACGAAACAGAAAGAGGCCACGAAGAAAAACGAAAATTCACTTGGATTTTTTTCAACACTGCTGTATTTCCTTTCAGATACAGGTCTTAATGAACCAAATCCTTTTGCCTTTAAACAAGCCTACATTGTGTCTGGTCAACATCAAGACTACTATCTGTACATTCAAGGCACACTCCATAAACAGGAATGTATGCTACACGTTTCCTGGTCAAGAGCTCCACTGCAAATGTACTCAACCACCCATGCCTAAGCACTCACCCACATCTCCAGAGTGTTGGGGTCAATTTTGTAGAGCTGATTGAAGTTGCAGTAGACCACCACCTCATCAGGCAAGCCGTACTGCCCGCGGGCTGACAGGATGATACAGCGCGGTATTTCTTCCCCCGTTGCAGACTTGTTGTTGGTCTGAACAGAAACATTAGGCATATTAGAAAAGGGAATTCAAAAGAATATTATAACAATGACCCAGATGAATAAACCAAAGCTAACTGTAAAACTTATTGAAAACAAAATATATGCGATGCACATGACTTTCACTATGCGTTATTTCAAGAAAAAAAGGAATTACAAGTAATACAGCATATTTGGGGAGATGATATTGAGTATAACCATTCATATTGGGAACACAGCTACCCACACTCATGAAGACTTCAACACATCCCAGCTAAACTTCCACAATTTTGCTTCTTAAAAAAACCCAGAATGACCAACAAGCACAGCAAGCAGACCACAAATGGGTACAACAATGCGAGAGAATCCTACCTGATTGGTAGTGAGTCCATTCTGAATGACGATGTTGTTGACCATGATTTGGGCTTGGTTAGAGGACACCATGGTCTGGAAAGACTGGATCACAGTGGGCGGCAACTCGATGATGGTGGTGACAACAGAGGCCGGCTCACCATTAGCATCGTCAGTAGTGACTCCATGGAGGCCAGTGTGAGTTACCTCCTGAAAACGTGAATAGAACAGGCACACTGATTAAAACTTTGTTTAGTAGACGTTTTACGGCACTCGCAACTGCATAAGGTCATATGAGCGCCAGAAGATTACAGGTGTTACAAGAGAGTAACAAACATAAAAAAGAAGAAAGGGAGATAAGGACGATAGATGTCTGATAGGAAAGAAGAAGCAAACCACATCAGAGCACCCGCCAACCACCCACAGTGATTAAAACTGACATAGTCCATGGCAACAGATCCCCGAAAACCAACAACAAACATTATCAGAGTCAAAGTCAACTACAATCAGTGCTTAAGTCAACAAACATATTACCAAACTACTAGTAAGAAGAACAGGCAGTTGTTACAAACATGATATAAACATGAAAGTAGACAGCTTGCACATACTAACAGTAAAGAAAAGTAAGCCAAGATAAAAATCATTTTCAAAAGTGGTGAAATGGTGACAACGAAATTGAAATAAAAGGAACTGTCAGCAGGGTTTACGGACCTAACCTCATAAAAGGAAATTAGGTAATATGCCACCTGCTCATAATTTAGCATCAATTCAAATCAAGAAAATCACTTGTCAGAAAAACCTGGTCTGCTTTGATGCATGCATAGAGACAAAAGAAACTTCATTGTGTTCACAAGTTTCCCTTACCTCAATGGCTGTGGCAAGGGCCTTGATGGGCTCCAGATCAACAGAATTGAGGTACATGACACCCTTTGTGGGCACGCCGTTAGCATCAGTGACTCGCACCACCAGATGGTGCTGCATGTGAGGGAACATGTTCATGTGATCCCCAATGAAAAAGGTGTCCTTCATAAACGCCAGTTTCTCAGAGTACTGGGACGTCAGTTCAGCTGGAGACGTGATTTTGTCTGTGATGATGTAGTCCATAAAGGAGGCCCCTGAGGTGCCTGGGTAGCCTAGCCACATCACCTGAAATTTTGGAAGAAAAAAAATTCCCAATCGTGACAAGTGTTGAATTACTTCCTTCTTCCTGCCAGGGCACAGATTATTAAAATGACATCAAACTCTTGACTCAATTTGCCACAAAAAACCAACAAAAAACAAGTTTTAGTTTAATTTTAGTAGAGGTTTTACTGCGTTTGCAACTGCATACGGTCATATGAGTGCCAGAAGATTAGAGGTGTTACAAGAGAGTAACAAACACAAAAAAGAATGAGGGGAGATAAGGAAGATAGACGTTTGATAGGAAAAAAGAAGCAAACCACACCAGAGCACCCGCCAACCACCCACTAAACAAGAGTTTTCACTCAACAGTAAACCCTCAACACATCAAGAAATGTCTACTTTCAATGATCTTACAAACAGGCTTTAGAATAGCAAAAATCATTCAGCTTAAAAATTTTAAGTTTTTTTAATAAAACAATAAACCAAGATTTTAAACAAGTAACACTTTCATAGTAAAAAGACAACGAAAATGAAATAAACTGTCAGCAGGGTTTACGGACCTAACCTCATAAAAGGAAATTAGGTAATATGCCCCCTGCTCATAATTTTGCATCAATTCAAATCAAGAAAATCATCTGTCAGAAAAACCTGGTCTGCTTTGATGCTTGCATAGAGACAAAAGAAACTTCATTTTAAAAATTCTCAGACAAATAACCTGTTCACACAAAAAAAAGCATGATTTGGGTTGACCAACCATTTACAGAGGATAAGACACAAACCTCAAGACATGCCTGTCCCTACCTCCAAGAGTAATGAAGACTTAAATTTGAGAGTGCCCTACTGAGTTTTCGAAACAAGACTATTTGCATACCTGAATTGGAGCGGGTCTCAGAGCAAACAGTTCATTTCTGGCTCCTTTTGTGTATCCATTCATATTCACAAGGATGTCAATACCGTCGGCGTTGATTCTATCGGCAGCCTTGCCGTTGCACGGAATCTTTGATAGATCTATGAAATGCTCAGCCTCAACAGAAATTTTCTGTCTGAAAGTGGTGCCATCATCTGGGCTTAGTGAATAGCAGAAAATCTGAAAACAAAAATGTGACAAAAAAGAATTTAACCTAGAGCATCAAACATATTTGAAGTTGGCTGCAACAATAAAAACGAAAAATAAACAATTGTCAGCAGGGTTTACGGACCTAACCTCATAAAAGGAAATTAGGTAATATGCCACCTGCTCATAATTTTGCATCAATTCAAATCAAGAAAATCACTTGTCAGAAAAACCTGGTCTGCTTTGATGCATGCAAAGTAGAACAAAATAATTTCTCATCAACAATCTGCATTCTCACAAAAAAAAGTGCCCAGCTGCAGCACTAACTCACCATTTGATGAAGACAACCAAACAAAAAATGCCTAACGGCACAAATAGAAATTGCATACAAGGATTCTTCAACTGCAGCCTATCTCAGAATTTAGATGAAATGAATTTTTCAGTTCTTATTTTCATAAATAACAAGCGCTCAATATATGAACCCAGTTTTAAAAAAGCATTCCTTTCACAAAGCCTGGGCAGAATAGCAACTGCACTTTATACATACCTCTACTTTTTAGAGTAGGCACAAACAGTTCTCACACTCACAGATGTAAACAATAAACCTCAAGTGTTTTTGAGAAGTAACCCCACACAGAACAGCTTACTTTGACCGTACCACTTACCTCCACTCTGCTTTTGTCATGATTACCAGGAACACTCTGCATGAGATGAGAGGTAGGGTGGTTTCCAAAGTCTGAACTGACATATCCAACGCGAAGGCGACCTCCACTTGACAGGCGTTCTTTCTGGTGCTGGTAGGCAGGTTTGTGAAGGACATTGATCTGAAAAACAGAGGGTCGCCCACATGAAAAACACAAAAAGGACATAACATTAAAGATAATATAGAACACTCTCTACTGTCCTTTAGAATTCACTCTTGAAAACCAAAAATAGGACAAAGCCTTTAAAACGTTATCAAAAATACTGTACGCTAACCTTGAAAACCCTCCATATTCTAGAAATCGATAAAAAGCTGCTGCATCACAATAGATGCTCCCCTCGTTCTCAAAAATCCAATGCATTTCAGGGGGGAAAAAAGACACAGAAACTACATATTGCGACCAAAAGTAGTTTTCACACACCTTTTCAAGACAAAGACTAGCATGTCTGGCAGCAATGGCCTTCCTCATCGAGTGTGTCAGTGGATACAGCATGCTGTGGTGGGGATGAACTGAGGGAAGTCTGTTCTTTTCCAGCTGGTCCTGCACTATCTGCACAAGGCGCTTCATACGACTGGGGTAGTCTGTCCAGTCACAAACAATCTGCAGGAAAAAAAATATATTTAAAAATACTGAAACTGTCCTTGTGATATCCTTAGTGAATGGACATGAGCGACTGTGCGCATAAAATAGAAAATATCAGCTGTGTGTTGTTAAGAAAGATATGGCACCAACAGCATTAAGTTTCCAAAAAGTAAAGGGAAGGAAACATCACGGAAGCAACCGTCCTTTCACAAAAACTTCAGAAAGAAAGACCACAACGTTTGTCACATGTGTTCTACTGACCTGTAGGCAGTGAGCAAGGTTGCAATAGGCATCAGGGAAATCAGGTTTCAGCTTCAAGGCAGTTCGGTACGAGGCAATGGCTTCAGGGATATTGCCAGAATCCTGCAGTTGAGAGAGAAAAAACCCAACATTATACAATCTGTGACAAATCCGACGTGCATCTTTCACAATGTTGTGGACAAACAACATGTCCCTGATCAAACCTTGGCCTCTAAATACCCCCCCCCCCCCCCATATATATGTGTATCAGTAAAAACCCCCCCCCCCCCCCCCCCCCCCCCCATATGTGTATCAGTACAACAAACCCCCTCCCCCCCAAATAAAAAATTAAAAAATGGTGCTGCACACGATCAAGAAAAACAATCATTAACAAGGAGAGAAAATAACACCTGAGACCTCACCTTATGGATTGAAGCAAGGTTGCTGTGAGCATCTGCAAATGCTGGATTTATTTGGATGGCACGAGTGTAGCACTGCAAAGCTCCCTGTATGTCTTGCATTTCCTTCAATGTATTTCCCATGTTGGAATATGCATCCGCAAAAGTCGGTGAGATCCTGCAAGAAAACAAAAGGGCATGGTTCAGTTCCAATTTTTCAGCAAAAGCAAAAAGGGCTACACTTTCAGTTACATTTATTAGTTTAAACAAAATATCAGTCCAGCAACTTTTCTCCTCAACAACAGAACGAGCTTGACTGTACATTCATAACAGTGTAAAATAGACATTGTACTAAGGTATTTACCAACCCCTGTAGTACAAGACGCTTTTAATTTCAGCCTCTGAAGACAACTTTTCCATACAATTGTTTTACTTAACCTAATATTTTTTAAATTTTATTTTAATCCTCAAGCATCCTCACCTTATTTCCCAATGAATGAACCCAAATTGAAAAGAGAAAATATCTGAACAAAGCACCTTACACATATCTTATGATCCAGTGTCACAGGCCATTCGATATTACTATCAGCCGCTCATCAATTTTTTGGTATTTGGAGTTTTTGAAAATAAACATAAAAGGTGTTGAGCCCAAAAAAGAAAAAATCTATTAAAATTGTCCAAAGGGCGAATAAATGCTGGTGTGTGTATGTGTGTATGCTGATTTCATTATTTTCATGAGCACCTGGTTTCATCATGATGCCTCACATATAAATATTCTTTTGCGTTTCACAAAATCAGTGGTGTACAAGGCAGTTGTGCAATGCTTAAATTCAACTCACCTTATTGCCTCCTTGTAATGCATGAGTGCTTCGTGTAGTTTTCCTTGTTGCTGTAGAACACTTGCCAAGTTAGAATGAGCAACAGCGAACTCTGGGTAGACCTGAAAAATAATAAAATAATTCAGCTGCAATCCTAACACACAATTAAATATGGCATAAAGTACACTTTAAAAAACCAGGCTTACAGATGCCAAAAATAAATAATCTTTCAAAGAACACTAAAGCTGACAGAGAACACAATAATCACAATAACAAAACATCTTGAGATGACATTCAAAACATACCTCTGAAGATCCAAAGACACATCTAATAAAATAATTTCCTGCTCAGTAGCTTAATTTTTTAGTACAATATGTAAATAACTATCTAATTGTACTTTTGTTAACCTCCCGTTTACATAATGTACGTTACACTATGTACTGTATAGCTCATAATGAGTGTGTGTCTACGTATGGGTGTGCGAGTCATTTCTTTTGTGTGTACATATAAATAAAGAAATACTAATCTTTTCAGTTTCGCTCTTTGTACTTGGATTTATGTAGAGCCTCTAAAGCTACGTGCACACAGTAGTATGCGCCATTTAAATTATCTCCATTATTATAATTAAAATCTTTGTCAAATATTTAAGTTCTTCTTGTCACAAGACAAGAAAAAAAAAATATATACCATGTGGTCGCCAAATAGGTAGCTTTAACAAATGTAACATACCTCCAAAGCCTTCAAATAGAGCCTCACAGCCTCCTCTGTGTTTCCTTGCTCCCGTTTGATGTTGGCCAAGTTGTTAAGAGAATCAGCATGGGTTGGACTTAATCGGAGAGCTGTGTTGTAACAATCTTCAGCTTCCTTCACCTATTTCAGTGGGGAAAAAGTCAGTCAGTCAACATGTGAAGACTGCAAACATACACTACCTTTGATAAATATTCACCTAATAGTAATATCAAAATAGGAGTTAATACCAAAAGCTCTATAACTTTCATACAGTACATTTATTACCACACTTCAATCAACACAAAAAGTTGGAAATATTTGGCTGAACTCACATCAATTCACAAACCAAAATTGTTTCTTACAAAGTACCCCATATATCAATTCACATCTTGTTCAAATTGCTTCACCGACACAAAAATCAAGCAAACATGTCCCTGTAGAAAGAATAATGAGTAAACCTCAATGTTTTTGATTCACTATGAAAAGCATGGCCAAGTTACTTTTTTTTTACAGTAATGGTACAGCTCTATCTTTTTTTTTTTTTAAACCGGACAGAACGAGTACAACTTTAAAAACGTACCTGTCCCTTCTCTTTAAGAGCATTCGCCAAATTGCAATAAGCATCTGGAAAGTTTGGCTGTAGCTCAATGGCTCTTTTGTATGTGTCAATGGCAAGGTCGATCAGTCTGAAAATATGGAACAGAATATTATCATGGTTTGAAAACTATATTGGTCACAAAATTACACAATTTTAAGCCCTAAAGAAACGTTTTAAAATCTAAAACCTGACTGTCATTATAAACTAAAGGTATTAGGAAGGGACAATTTGATGTGTCAAATACTTCATACATGTAAAATGTTCTTTCAGTTTAAATTCCATCACATTAGCAGATTATCATAAATATACACATCCATACTAAAGTCCATGTATCAGAAGACAAAAATTTTTTACTGCCAACTGAAAAGGCGCTCTTCTCGGTGAGACTCACCCTTGTTCATAATAGACACAGGCCAAGTTGCCATGGACCACAGCATGGTTAGGACTCAAGTTCAAGGCTCTCAAATAAGCTGCCACAGATCTGAAAGTAAAAATATATGACAACTGATTATTTTCTGTCCATAAAATCAAACACCATTCCAGGCGATGAACAAAGCTAACATGTTTTCATAAATCACCTGTAAAAAAATGACATCAGTATAACTGATACAGACCTGCCAAAAATCTGGCGCAACAGACTGAACAAAAATTGGGACACTCAATTGAAATCAGGATGCTTGAGATTTGGGAATAAAATAAGGGTATCCCAATTAAATCGGAATGAATGGCAGGCCTGCTGATAGTACAATTAAGAGGATTAGAGTTGACCTACTCTTATCAATCTAAATAATTGAGTGCTCTGAAAGACAACTTTCTTACATCCAGATAGGGACACATATATTGGCACCGTTTCAGACAGGAGATAAAAAAAATAACCAATGTAAACTAGAGACGTATTCTTATGTCAGGCAATATAAATCTTACCTGTCAAAGATCCTGGCTTCCTTGAGAACATTTCCAAGGTTGATGTATGCATCGAGGAAATTAGGATCAAGAGCAACAGCCTGAAACAGAAACATAAGCAAAATTAAAGAAAACACATTTTAGAACATGGGTTCATGAGGCTGCTACATAAATCAGAAAGCAGGTTTGAAGTCTAATGTCTATGAATTTATAAATTGAGCACTTGAAGGAAAGATATCAGTCATTCTTTCTTAACAACCCCAGTATCAAATGTACTATCCTACTCCCAAGATGAATTAAAAAGTGTTAAAGAATGCAAATCCGTGGGCAAGGCTAGTTTCTCTGCAAATTGGTAGCACATACAATACTGTACGCGATAACATAAATGATAATAGCTCAACCCTTGCTTTCTTTACATAAACTCCAATATCAATTATGAAAAACTATACATCAACATCCAAACATTGAAATTACAATATTTTAGAACAATTTCGACTACATTAAATAATATGTCGTTACAGCCTAGCATTACTTATGTCAAGCCAACAACACTAATGAACCAAAACAACATAGGTCTAAATATCCAATGTGTGTGGGCACTATCAAGCACATCAGATTCTTTAGAAGATAAAACAACGGGGGGGGGGGGGGGGGGTTACCTTTTCAAAATGATGTATGGCTAGCCAGATCTCTCCTTGAGCATTGAATACACATCCCAAGTTACTCCATGCAACAGCAAAATTTGGACAGGTCTCAATAGCTTTGAGATAACATGCCTGAAACCGGACATGGGAAAGGGCCAAAACATCAAAATTAGTTGGGTTCAAGGCTTTAGAACGCTGCTGCATTTGCTGCTGCTGCCTGCGCTATAGCTACGCTGTGCGCTCGCACTGCTGCTGCTATTATATCTGGCGCGCGCTAAATGCTGGCAAGATAGCTGCTCGCAGACTGATTTCTTTTAAGTCTGAAGATACTGCCTGGTATGCTTTTTGCATTCGCTTCGCGCAAGGTCACTATTGAAAAATAAAGGCTGTTATGGAAAAATAGCTCAGCCTTTAGTTTCCTGATAGCTCGCATCACTCAACGCCATGCCCTTTGGGTGCATCAGTTGTCAGTTCAAACACTCCACAAGAGTAATTACTAGTCAATTTGAGATATAAAGGTGATGAATCCCCAAAACATACGCCAACTCAATAATCAAAGAACTACTTATTCTGCACTGAAAGGGCACGGCAACGCAATCGCTTGCAGCGCGCAGCTTGCTGCAAGATGTCTGCTCAGACATCCCCGCGCAATACCTGGCATGTTTGCAGACCCCTACATCACTGCAACTTACTTTGAAAAGAGAAAGCAAAAACACAAATTTTAAGACTTTTGTTTTGTTTGGAGAAGGAAAAAAAAGGGGGGGAAAAAAGGACAAAAAAGTGACTCTTACCTGGACAAAGAGGGCGGTAAATTTTCTCAATTTGCAGTTTCAGTTTCTGAGCCAGTGAAATAGTTTTTCAATGAAAGAGCCACGAATAGATAAATAAGACAAAACATTAACACAGTACAATACCTTGAAGACAAAGAAAGTCATAACTTCATAAATTCATACCCAGCTGTGCCAGTTCCATCAGAAGAGGGAGCCAACATTTCCATCACTGTGGCTCTTTTGAAGTCTCTGTCGAACTAGAAGATAGCATCCTCCATCTATTTATAAAACCAGAAATTAAAAAAGGAGAACCATTAGCTTAAAAATCCGCTTGCCTCAGATGCAAAACCCAACAGATTTTTTCCCTTGAGAAAGTGCTAAAAAAGATGAGAAAAAGACAGGCAAGTATTGGACAGTTTAGTGTGGAATGGGATCTTGGCCAATACAGTAAGACAGGAAAAGACATACAAGGGAAGAGAGAAATTTCTCAACACACAACTCTCTTGCGTGTGTGCATGTGCACTTGCAAAGCTGTTTTATAAACTTAAAACTTAAAGCATTCCCAAGATGGTGCTCACTGGAAAGAGGCACTTTCGTGTTCAGATTCATTAAATACCATTGTGAAGTAGAATGAATAATTTTGAAATATCTGCCGTTGGAAGCCTCCTCATCGATGAGGCCTCTACAGCATTCCAGAAAAGTACAAGTAGCCATAAAATGAAAAATGCCATTTTTTCCAGTGAGCACAAATAACGAGCTGTGAAATGATTCAAATCTATAAGTGGGATGGGAGAGCTGAAAACAAAAGTTATATTGCACCAAACTTTTTACATTGCAAATTCCCTTCTTTACCATCCACAAATAGGTTATGGACCCGACCACATCTTTCTCAATTGCTCCAGAAATTTAAAGACCCAGCATTATTCCCCCCCAATTCCCTTTAGTCATAAAAAGTTTGGTTATTAGTTCAAAGAAAATGGGGGGAGGAAATCTGCGCCACTGCTGCTCTTCGTCTGCAAATTCAGCAAACTGTTGATGAGTAAGCCACCAAAGTTCATGAAAGTATTGCACTTTACATGAACTTCTAGGAACTATTCGTACACATTCTTTTCAAAACCCTCACCACATTGTAGTATGGTAAAAGGACAGTGTACACATTTCTTTTCTAAAGCCACCCCCACCTTCCCAATCTTCAATTTCAGGATGGAAAATCCTTTGAAAAATTATTAACCAATTATCCCAAACGCATGACCTCCTCAATACTTTGCATTGTTCCAAAAAAATATGGTTGTATCATCAACAGTTTGCTTAGTCTGGGATCAAACAAAAAAGATTAGCATATTTGGGAATGCTTGCATCACTATGGAAGGCATACTTATGTTAGTTTAACGAGTACACGCCAGTTGTCATAACTGACTATATCAGACCCAGTCAGTGTTTCTGTCTTACCTTGGCTTCATCCAGACGTCCCAATGCCTTCAACAAGTTCCCCAAATCACTTCTCACGCAATACAGATCCTGAAACAAATGTGAACACATAATTTTTAATTTGAACATAAATATAACAGTTACTCTCTACCATGCTAAACAGGCTTTCCAGAAATATCAACAATCCCAGAAATTCGTTGAAAAATTGTTCCTTGAGAGACTCGAATGCCTAAGCCTCAAGATCAATACAATTAATTATTTTGGATTAAATCAAAATATTTCAGTAAAAAATTTAAGATAATCCTAATAATTTATATCCTTTTTTTTTTTTTAAGCCTTCTGAAAAATCATACAAAATTAACTTCACCATAAGCCTCTATTTCTCTTATAAATGGAGTTGTGCATAAAGCTATAT